ACATGTGAAGAGTGTGTCGGCGGGGGGCTTTTAGGTGCCTGTTGCGGACTGTTGCGGTGCCTGGGAGAATCCAAGGACCTCTGGCGCGAGGCCTAGTACCAGGCGTCAACGAGGATACATCTGCGTGAACGGGGCTATAGCTGCCAAACACTAAGACATACATTCGGCGAACCCTCCTTTATTAATCTACAGTAAACTTGTGAGTACCCCTGTAAAGGCGCATTTTACTTTCGTGTTATATGCCGATTCCTCAGACGGAGATAACAACCACGTTTTTGAAGGAATAATTGCTGTTATATGTTTTCGTAACTATTACATTCTCTCATATATTCAGACATGTGCGTAATATGATTTGCGTTATTTGCTAATAGTCTCGACTTATCAGCCCTTTTCATTTAAAATGTATCATTTGTGGTGCTAGCGGTGTAGTACGTTGTTCACAATTTTTGTATTTGTATCAAAATTTCTTAACTGGCTTCCAGGCACCTGCCTAAATACACCTAACAAACGGTGTAAACAAAACTGTCCTTTGAAAGAACAAATTGTGGCCGATTATAATGATAAACTATCCGTCATTGCGTGCGTTTGAAATTGTTTTTAGCTGGATATTGAATTCAATTGAGTTTATTGCGCAACAAGGTTGCACGGAGACCAGGCGAAAAAGCTTCACTGAGCAGCTTAAGGAGAACCTCGAGGGAACATGGTGTAACAGTCTTTGTCATGCACAGTGCACCAGCTTGTTATGCGAGGCAACAAATGACGTGAAAATGACCCATCCTCATTCGCTTAGGCGTGGCCACGTAAAATATAAGAGAAACTATTTCGATTCGGCATACCGTTCTTCATTGTCATCGGCATTTAAAATTTCGGTGTGCCAGAAAATTGCCTGCTTGTTATATGATGTCACCAAACCGGAGAGCATCTCTTTCAAAATGTAATTCAAGTAGGCTAGCTACCATTCACACGAGCATGGACTACATGTAGCTGCTGGCGAAATGGATTATGAGTTTAATAAAATATATACACATGCAGCATAACAGTTCTTAGTAGTTTGTGCGCGTATACATATCTGTGAGCTCATACTTGCTCAGAGAAAGAGAAATAGAGAGAAACAGGCAGCGCTGCACTTGTGCGCTTCTTTGCTGCCCGAGATGTATTTGGAGCTCTAAAGAAAAATTCATGTTGTGTGAAAACCAACTAGCCCGATTCCTAAGCCTCGAGAGTGCTAAAAAGCGCCAGGCTTGCGCAGAAGGCACAGCACAGTCATAGCGAAAGCTAGAAGAGTGGTCTTTCAGAGCCTTTTCTAAACATTCATTGGATGGCTGCAGCAACACTTCCTTGATACCCACTATGGTAATATAATAGAGCTTTTTCGGTAGTAGGTGGGCATTCGCTTTGGTATTTATGCCTGAAGTGGGTATGCGCCCAGTTATTAGGAGAAAAAAGTTTTTGCAATTGTTTGGAACATTTTGTGACCCGCTATTCACGCTATTCGCATTGTGCGAAGAGTTGTTGTTCTTTCGCTGTTTTCAAACGATTTATAAGTCGTAATAACGTGATTCCTTTCCTGACATCAAGCCTGCCTAAAGCAAGATTGCCAACACAAGTCCCAAGCACAGGCGGGTCTCATGGGTAGCATATTGGGCTGGCACCCAGTGGACACGGGTTCGATCTCCACTGTGTCAATGGTGCTAGGTTGTTTTATTTTAAATTTTGGCGATGTGGTTACGGACACCGGCGGTGGCAGCGGTGGACAACTACGGGGCCGCGCGGGAACGGAACTTTAGTCTCAACAGTTTTCGCTGTGAAACCACGGTATTTCACCTTCTCCCTCGTCTGGTGGATCGAGTTGTGGGGCAAGCTTAACAGCTGAACTTCCTATTGAGGTCTAGTTCACTGCTTTAGTCGTGGCCACTTTGGAAAATACCGCTATGGCTCCAAGTCACCATAAGCAAGGCTGATAAGCTTCATCATAGACTAAAGCGGGAAAAAATTTTAGCCTCTAGGTATGAAAAACTCAAACATAAAAAGCGATTCTTCGCACTCATCAGCTCGCAATGGCTTCGACAGAGCAGCGGTGATGGTATATCCTTTCGAAGAAAGTTATTTCCGAAAGCAGCGAATGCTTCGACCGGTCATTAAAAAGTTCCATCATTCCCATCCGTCACTGCATCAACAAATCACAGCAGCTTGATTGCATGAACAAGTAATGTAACATTGCGACAAGTGATGTAATATTCAGCGCTTGCCAGCTCTGCAATACTACAGGACAAGACGCTAAACCGTCGCACAGGCGACTCGCACCGCAAAGAGCCTACAAGGACAATCATCACAGCGGAAAAGTTGGCGAAATTTCGCTCTGTTGAAACAATGCCTCATAACATTTTCATTCCCCGTAATAACAAACTTGAGTGATTACTGTTGTCACGGAAAACGTCTTTTACTTGTTAGTTACCATCGTTCAGCCAAGAGTGACCATGATCCACTGTCGAAAGAGGGGGGGGGGAGCTCACCCCCTTCAACTTTTCTTAGTAGGGAGGGGGTCTAGCGCTCCATTGCTCCCCGCTGATGCGCCTATGGCGCGCTGTCTATATTGTCGAACGCGATCGGTGTTCTTACTCGCACTTCATCGGTTTCGCTGGTCTTCCACTGCTGACGCTTGAGTTCAGCTTCCCTGGCTCGCGCTTCGTCGGTGTTGACATCGCCATTCGCAAACGCGATCAGCTTTACTACCCCACGCAACGGCAGCGACAGCCGGAAAGGGTACGCGCCCACTAGCGCGAAGCATGCCGCGACTGCGTCTCGCCCGTCGGCGCGTTCGCGCGGTATGCAGCGGCGCGCTGTCCACATTGTCGGCCCCGCGAGATTCTCGAGGTGCGCGCATCTGCCGGCTCGCGGCTTCTCACCGAAAGGTGGAGGGAGGTGGAATGGATGAGATGATTCCCACGTAATAATTAGGCTGGAGCGCTGCGAGCGGTGGAGAGGCTAGCGAGAGAGAGCTGACACGCGGTGAGGGCGCGGCAGGCGAGAAAGAGAGACGTCAACGCACACTGCGGCGAGGGCAGCACTGCGAACGAAGAGACAGCTTTACGTAGGTTAGTCAAGAAGCTGCTTCGCATCTAAAAAAACCACCGAAAAGTACGACGAGGAAAGCGACTGCGAACCAACCAGCGTCCATGGGCGGTGATTTTAGGAGTTCAAAGAAGCCACAATCCGAGAAGAGCACGTACCCACATCTACCAGTTTGGCCGCAGCGCCGAAACGGGCCTTTTCCTCGAGCAGCATTGACCTTGGTCAGGAAACGGTGCCTGGCATCGAGGAACCCCCTGCAAAGACGCCACAAGTACGGCAGTCCACCCTTCGACCGCACCCTAACGTTCTGCCTGGCGAATGCGACAACAAACCATAGCACAGTATAAGATAGTGTCACCTCGGCGAAGTGCTGGTAGAATCTGAAGACAGAGTTGAGCATAGGGCATATAATCGTGCGTGCGTGATATGAGGCTCGTTCCCCAGCGAAATGTGTATTCGTGAGCAAGGGTGCGGAGCTTCCATGCAGCGTCATTTCTGGAAAGCTGAAATTATATTTGTTTGTTTTCAGCCTGGGCAGACCGGGTAGCTCTATCGACCCATTTAGTGCCAATAATCTCACAATGACGTGTGACCCATATTAAAAGCCATATTATGTCTGTTTCAAGTTCAACGGCCGTTGCCACAAAGGCAGGCATGCTCGCTGCCATCCATGTGATATCGATCTTCCCATTTTTGTTAAAATCAGATTTTTTTGCGCGGTAGACAGTTCCTTTAAAATTTCTCGCGATTTAAAGCATGCTACCCTTTACATAGAATTCCACCATTAGTTAAACTTGCACTGAAAGAAGACACTGGTATCTTTATTGATTACATCGTAGTAATACGCAATTTAAAGTTCTGGAGTAACCTCATATATTTCAGGCGCTTTGCTAGCGCCTCCAGGAGAAGCACGTGTCCTGCTGTGGCTAATGGAAGACGACGACGATCACGAGACAGACTTACGCGCTGTTCACCCAGGTGTCACTTGTGCAGCCTGTGTTTCATGTGAGTATATGAGTTTAAGTAAATTAACTTTAGTTTTACAACGCCTCGTGTCTTCAATGAAGTCCGAAGGACACAAAATTAAAAATATTCACTAAGTGCTTGAAGTATGCACTCAGGACACGATATTGCTATCGCGTACAACTTTTAAAGGCAAAGCTTAGGGGCGCCTAATTTTTTTAGAGAGAAGCTAGACCTTTAAGCCTGATTATGGACAACGAGGAAGAAGAAAGAGTTCGTAGAAATATTTTTATTATATCATCACCATCACTCTCAAAATTAGCAGGCTATAGGGGTACATGTCTTTCGCCGCTACTGCTCTTCATAACTAATGGTTTTAGTGAATAAGAGTGTTTCTATTAAATAGGTTGATAAATTATAATACTTCTGCTTCATCGTTGCGAAAAAGTAACTACGCCGTTTGTTTGCTTAGATTCGAGAGCAGCACCAAATTCGTAAAAATGTATACCATGTCTCTTCTTTGTACTGTGATATTGAGGGAGTAAATTCCGTTATACTTTGCACACTTTTCAAGTGAGAACCTTCATGAGGATCCTAGAAACGCTGTTATTTCACCTCTAGGCCTACCTGCGTGTACGCATTGCTTTTTTTAATTTTTGAACGACTGTCCAGTCGTCCACAATGAAAAAAAAGCTAATGTTTTATTGAAACATTAAAATAAAAAAATATTTTTGAGGAACATTTCATTTGTTTTTCTTTATCGTAAACACTGGGGTTTCCTAATACCTCGGTAGCTCATGAATCGGGTGCAGAAGACAACAAGGTTGCACGCGCCGAAGCAATACGTGGGCAGCGCCCGGCAGAGCCTCTTCTCCTGGGCCCCACCAAGGCGTGCTGACGCCGTCCTCTCTGAGACGCAGCGATTACCCACGGATATATAGTGGTCCTTCATTAACGTACAGGTTATGGACAACGTCGAGGCACGAGCGAACGAAGAATTGGAGCTGGACGAGCTCAGCCGGGTGTCAACCACCACAGAAGACATCAGCGCGACCGAGCAGATTGCCGAAGAGCGAGAGAACGGGGAGATGGACTTGGTTCATCAGCATGGAGGCATGGAAGACGATGCTACCAGCACCGTCAGCAGCGCTGAGAGAAGCAGCAGGGTGAGCGACGCCACCCAATCCACGTCGTCCTCCCACTCTGCCGAGGCGGAAAGGCCGATGGCCCACCTGTCGTGCCGGCTGTGCTCAGAGGACGAAAATGCGCCGGAGGAACCACTCTACCAGTGCCCGTGCCGCTGCATCGACACGTACGTACACCAGTCTTGCCTGGAGCAGCTTTTGTACGAAGGGCCTGAAGGCGGCGTGTGCGCGGTGTGCCACACTCATTACCCGGTGCGGCGCCAGACCAAGCCCTCTGGCTGAGCTTCTGGGATAAAGAGTCACGTGAGGACGCTATTCTGTTTTTGGCCTACATGGCCTTCAATCTGGGTAACATCGGCGTGCTCACCATGGCTTGGATGTACGTCCTGGTCGAGTACAGCCCTAAATCATGGCTTCCGACAGCGTCACTGGCCTTAGCCCTGTTAGTTATTTCTGTCTTCTGGATTGGGTTTGCCTGCCAGCGCCTCAGTGTCCGCTTCATGAACCTTGTGCAATGGGGAGAGACAACAACTCTGAAAGTGTTGTTCACGAACAAAGTCACTCAGGCTTGACAGCGCCTGCCGCCTCCAAAGCTTGGTTGGGTGTGGTCAGTCAAGTGACTCGTCTCTGAAGAGATATCTGCGGGCAACGGCAGTATGTGTGTGTGTGTTTTGTTTCTTTTTTCCTTCTGTCTTACGGCGCCTGGGTTGGAAGTCGCGGCCGCAAAACAAAGTGCGAGTTTAAGCAATAAAAGGGAAAACAAAATGATGGATTCTCGTTTATTCGTAGCTAATATCCTAATAACTTTGTGGTTGAACGATGGTTCTACCTTGTGGTTGGCATTGGTGGCTGCGTATTTCAAGAAAGTAGAAAAGGAAAAGAAAGTGCCGCCATATCAACGAAGTGAATGATGATGAGTGGGCAAAGCTCTGGAGATAAACCTGGTAAACCATGAATCCTCTGTACATTTTGCCCACTCGATTTTATTATAACTCTCCCCCGAGCGTACGTCGCCGCACTAAATCGAACGATTGCCTTCCACCAATGACACGCGCCATATGTGACATCATTCCTATTTTATAACATCTTGCATCTTTCATCATCAATCACAAGTACCGCAGTCTAGTTAATAACATCTTGCATCTTCTCATGATGATGATGATCTCTGTGGTCTTCCCCTTTATACCGGGGGGGGGGGGGGCACCTCTTAGTGTCCTGACCGGAACGAGAAAAAAAGGAAAGAAAAATCACACGAGGTCCATGAACATCACAATTGTTCACTGTCTCCTTGACCACCACTGTAGAAGCCTTGCTTTGGTTATTGCTGTCGCTGCCAGGGGTTGCACGTTGGTATCGCGACTGTCGCCTCCCGGTGCACCGCAGTCTTTCACAAAGCCGAGTGCCTCCGGTAGTGTGGCGCCATCTGTCTGACGGGGACATCATCAGCTATAATGTCGCCATCTAGTAAACACTGCAAGAACTAAACGAGAGGTGGCTACATACAGTAGAATTGCTGTATATGCTACCTTTATGTAGCAGAGTTGCGCCACTGTTTTCTGGGCGCCACTCGCTCCGCCTACAGAAAGAAGTTCAGCGGATGGATGGGTTGATATCGCTGTACCTATTGCATCGGGTGGTGGCTAACGCCACCAAGCGGTAATGCTTAGTGAACCAAAAACGATATTTTTTTTTTCCTTTAAATAGTGAGGTTGAGGACTCGTACTTTACAGTGAAGGGTTTATTTTCACTCGTGCCTTGACTTAAGCGACCAATCCAATACCTCCTTCTAGTTCATTCTACCCGCTTAAAGTCTATTTTGCCCTCCCTGTCCATAAACCCCGGAGCTTTGAAAAACTCTGCGCCATCATTCTGAACTATAGGGTGAAGCTCTTTACAGAACATTATCAAGTGTTCGGAAGTTTCCCCATCCTCTTCACACGCACTGCGTACCATGTTACCCCTTCGAATTTGGCCCGTATGTTTTTGTTCGCAGTGCTCCATCCTAGCCTCAAACAGTAGTGAACTACCCCGAGTATTATCATAGGTCTTTTCCTTGGCAATTTCCTCCTTAAAAGTTCGATAGATCTCCCATGCGGACTTGTTAATCACGCCAATTCTCCACGTATCGGTATCGCTTTCCTTCACCTTCTTCTTAACCGATAATTCTTTTTGGTTTGGCCCCCTGCTGTTTTCTAATAATTTACCAGTCAATTTTCTGGTTCTCTAATTCCTCCATTTTGTATCGACATTCTTCATGTACAAGCAGCTGAAGAACTCTAAGGCAAAAGGGTGTTAAAAGTGTGTGTGGTTCATCCTTTTGAGGACTAATGGGGCTTCCACACCATTAATCCCTTTAAGAACTAACGGCATTGAGTCTAACAGTTAGTCCCCACAAACGAGCTCCGAGACTAACATTTAGTCCTCACATTTACACCTTAGTGAGTTACCAGTGTTCCGCCGATTCACCTCAAAGGACTAACATTTTGTCCTCACATTGGCACCTTATAGGGCAACTGTTAGTCCCCACATATAAACTTTACTGGGCAACCGTTAGTCCTCACAATTGCATCTCGCCGGACGAACGGTCGATCTACTCAAATAATCCAATCGGATGAACTTTTTATCCCCAGTTCAAGCATTGTTTTTTTTGTTTATTTTCCGCCCGGCTTGATACTTTTTTCGCCTGTTTTTCTACGCAGTGAGCTAGAAATAGCGCAGAAAAGAATACGCGAAAAAGTAGTTAGCCAATGTGTAACTGCTTTCACAGTCACGGCAACAACGAAAGAGAACAGTGAGACATCGAAATCTTTTATTTTCCTACAAATGCAAGAAGCCTCTCCAATCTTTTCAGGATATTCATGGTGAAGTGTACAATTCCAGTCTCGTTGTCACATGTTGTTCACTCCTTGGGGAGCTCCTCCGATGGAAGTGATAGATGACAGGATTCTGCTGGTTCTGTAAACCACTCGGCGTCAGGGTCAATGTCGTCACATTCGTGCACTAGCATCGCATCTAACATGGTTCGTACTTCCCATCCGTGAATTAGGCTGAAATTGGTCATCCGGACTGTTTCTTTTTGGCCGTGTTGTATGCAACGTGATATATGGCAAGATTTCGTCCCGATTTTGTGTTCTACGTCTACGTACATTGAAAGCATGACTGTTCAGACGCTGTGTAAGCCCGCTCGTTTGCGGGTGGTAGGCGGTGGTCTTACGATGGGTTGTTTCACTTAGCATCAGGACTTGAACCAAAAGAACTACCGTAAATGTGGTTAATCTCTCTGTGATTACTATGCTTGGTGAACCATGCCTCAGTACAACATTCTCGATGAAAAATTGTGCCACCTCAGTTGCTGTACCTCGCTGGGTAGCCTTTGTTTCAGCAGAACGGGTAAGGTATTCTGTCGCGACGATAACCCAGCGGTTCCCGGCAGTAGAAGCAGGAAGTGGGCCCAAAATCTATGCCAATCTGGTCGAATGGTGTTCTTAGGACCTGCACAGGCTGTAGGAGGCCAGCCTATTTATTCGGCGGTGAGTTCCGTCGCTGGCAGTCGAGGCAAGTACGAACTTAGTGCTTTACGGCTATGGTCAATCTTGGCCATAGTAACGTTGTCGTACTCTGGTCAACGTTCTCGTGAAACCTAAGAGTCCTGAATTCACATCGTCGTGGCATGCTTCGAGTACTACGGAGCGAAGGGCTGCTGGGATGATGAGCAAATAGGCGGATGCCGACCAAGAGAAGTTTCTTTTGTATATACTTCGCCCCATAAGCAAAATGATGACAGCGCTCTTACGAAAACAGTTGGTGCCCTGAGAACTGCCATGCAGGTAAATAATTAGGGCAAGTAACTCAGGGTTGCCACGTTGTTGTTGCGCAATGGCGGTCGTCTCGAGAACACCTAGGAATACTGTTTCCGCCTCATCGGCTGGAGTTTCCGGCTCAATAGGCGAGTAGCATTGACAGTCAGCATCTATATGGTGGGTCCCTGACAAGCTTACGACCGTTAAGTTGTACTCTTGCAGCCTGAGACTCCAACGCATTATTCGCTCGTTAGAATCTTTAAGATTTCTCAACAAACACAGTGTATGGTGGTCGCTTATGACTGTGAAAGGGCGGCCGTATAAATACGGGCTAACGTTTGTGACCACCTATACCACGGTGAGGCATTAATTCTCTCTCAGTCGTGGAGTAATCAGCCTCACCGAGTGTTAGTGCTCGGCTTGCATATGCGATTACTCTTTTTGTGCCTTTTTGCAGCTGTACAAGAACAGCTCCTAGACAAACATTGCTGTCATCAGTTTGTAGCTTCGTTGGGGCTTTCTAATCAAAGTGGGCAAGCACTGGAGGGTCCGTAGTCGGTGGCGCAGGTTGTTAAAAGCAGCTTCGCTTCGTTGTTTCACCGGGAGAGAACGTCTTCTCTCGTACGGTGAGTGTGTGTGCGTGTGAAGTCCTTGATGAATCGCCTATAATATGCACATAGGCCGAGGAAGCGTCGGACAGCCTTATTCTCAGTTGGCATGGGGAACTGCGCAACGGCTGCGATTTTTTTTCAGAATCAGGACGAATGCCTGCGTGACTGACGACGTGGTCAAGAAATTGCAGTTCTTCATAACAAAAGTAGCACTTTTCACGCTTTACCGCTAAGCCCGCGGACCGTATTGCTTGTAAAAGCCCCAAGCTTTTCAAGGTGCTCGTCAAAGGTACGGTGAAAACCATGACATCATCAAGGTAGACCAAGCGGTTTTACACTTTAAGCCAAAAAGCACGGTATCCATGAGTCTTTGAAAGGAAGCAGGCGCTGAGCATAAACGGAAGGGTAAGACTTTAAATTCATATAAGCCATCTGGTGTCACAAAAGCAGTCTTCTCGTGGTCTCAGGGTCTACCTCGATTTGCCAATATCCACTTCTTAAGTCCATCGATGAAAAGTAACGCGCATGTCGAAGTCTGTCGAGAGAGTCATCTATACGAGGAAGTGGATACACATTTCTCTTTGTCACCTGATTGAGCTTTCTCTAATCTACACAGAAGCGCAGGCTGCCGTCTTTTTTAATGACGACAATAGGTGACGCCCAGGGGCTTTTTGAGGGCTGAATGACATCATCTTCTATCATTTTGTCGACTTGCTTTTGTATCACTTCACGTTCTTTTGGAGCCACGCGATAAGAATTTTGGTGAATTGGTTCCACCATGTCGTCGGCAATTATCCCATGCTTGTTTAGAGGCGTGAGGCCAACTCTTTATGTTGTCGAAAAGCAGTCTTTGAATTGGGCCAGTAGCTCA